GCAAGCAGGCGTGCTACAGCGACGCAGCTGCTTTGAATAGACGCTCTTGCGTGCTTGCTTGTGCAGTGGCTAGGGTTTAGGGTTTAGGGTTTAGGGTTTGCGTGCAGACCGGTGGGAGTGGGTGTGTTGGAGCAGCAAGCAGGCGTGCTACAGCGACGCAAGTCCTTTAAATAAATATTCTCTTTTGGCAATTAGTTTGGTGCTTCCGGACAAGACTGACCCAAATGTCTTTTACGTGCGTTACCACCAAAAGCAGCAGCAGCAGCAGCAGCAGCAGCAACAGCAGCAGCAGCAGCAGCAGTGGCCCTGGCAGCAGCAGCAGCAGCAAATTGACCTCTTCTTCCGCCGCGTTGACCGCAGCAGAGATCTTTGGGCGGATGGACTTTTCGAATTTATCGACAAGGTAATTTTAATTTTATTTTTAATTTTAATTTGAATTTTAATTATTTATTTGTTTAAATTCCTTTTAATTATTTAATCCTTTTAATTCTTCATTTGTGTGTTTAATGTTTAATTGTTTTTATTTGTTTAATTTTGTTGGTTTTAATCCTTTTTGTTCTGGTGTGCTTTATGTTTGTTTTGTACTTTGAACTTTTATTTTTCAATTCTTTTATTTGTTTTATTTCCCTTTAATTCTTTTAATTTCATTTTTTCTTCTTTTTATTTCTTTTAACTGCTTTTCAAGATTTAAAATTGTTTTGAATTCTATTTTAAATCTTTTTGTTCTTTTGAAACTTTTCTTCTCCTTTTATTTCTTTTTTGATTCTTTTCAAGTTCTTCTTTTATTTTTCAAATTCCCTTTTTTATTCCTTTTTCAATCTCCCTAATTTTCTTTTTAACTTTTATTTTTTGATTATTTCATTTCCTTTTATTTTCTTCTTTATTTTGCATCTTTTTTTATTGTTTAATTTTCATTTTTCTTCTTTTCTTTTTTACCATTTTGTTTATTTATCACCTTTTTGTTTCCTTTTTTAGTTTAGTTTTTGTTTTATTTTAAAGGTTTTTTTTAAATCTTTTCTGTCTTTTGGTTTCCTTTTTGTGATTCTCGTCTTTCTTTGTTTGTCTCGTTTTGTTTCATTTTATTTTTTGTCTCCTTTTGTTTCCAATTAATAAACAAATGACTGTAAACTGCTTGCTGCTGCAGCAGCAGCAGCAGCAGCAGCAGCTCAGGATCTCAACTGCATTGAAAGTAGATGAAGGCAAGCAGCAGCAAGTTAAAATAATTAATAAAATTCAATGATAACTATTTTACTCATTAATGGGGTGACATTTGCTGCTGCTTCTGCTGCTGCTGTTGCTGCTGCTGCTGCTGCTGCTACTGCTGCTGCTGCTGCTGCTGCAGCTCAGGGCGTATTTAGACTTGTGCGCGGCAACCCCTGAAGAGGCCCCGCGGCACCGCGTCAATGAGAAGCAAAAGCCCAGAAGGAGACACACAGCAGCAGCAGCAGCAGCAGCAGGAGGCAAAGATGCAGCAGGCGAAGGTGCTGAAAAAGCAAGACACTCAGGTATTGCCCTCTGCAGCTGTTTTTCTGCTGCTGTTGCTGCTGCTGCTGCTGCTGTTGCTGCTGTTGTTCCTCCTGCTGCGGGTGCTGCTGTTGCTGCTGCTGTAGTGGTGTTGCCGCTGCTGTTGCAGCAGCAGCAGCAGGAGCTGCTGCTGCTGCAGTTGCTGGCTCTTCTTTTGTTACTGCTGCTGCATTGATTTCTGTGGCTGCTGCTGTTGCTGGCCTGGCTGCTTCGGTGGCTGCTACAGCTTTTACTTCTGCTGCTGCTTGTGCTGCTGTTCCGCCTGCTGCTTCTTGTGCTGCTGCTGTTCCTGCTGCTGCTGCTGCTGCTGTTTCTACTGTTGCTGTTGCTGCTGCCGCTGTGCTTTAACTTTTTGTCTCCGCCGTTCCCATACATCTTTAATTCAGGGTCGCCTTTAATTCCTGCTTCTTTTGTTTTTGCTGCTGCTGCTGCTGCTGCTGCTGCTGCTGCTGCTGCAGTGCGGTGTTTGCCCAGCCCCCGGTCGAACGTAGTCCCCTCTCCCCGCCGCCCCAGCAGCACTGCTTTGATGCTGACGGACTTGATGTACACAACAGAAACTGGAACAGCAGCAGCAGCAGCAGCAGCAGCAGCAGCAGACACGGACTCAGATTCAGACACAGACAAAGACGCGGTCTCAACTAATTCTTCCTCTTAAAGCCACACATTCAGCCGTAGCTAGCTGTAGCTAGCCGCAGCTAGCCGTAGCTAGCTGTAGCTAGCCGTAGCTAGCCGTATCAAGCTGCAGCTAGCTGCAGCTAGCTGCATCCAGCCGCAGATGGCTGTGGCTAGCAGTTGCTAGCTATGGATAGCTGTATCTAGCTGTAGGTGTTTTGGCTCGCTGTGGCTAGTTGTAGCTAGCTGTGGCTGCCTGTGGCTAGCTGTAGCTAGCTGTGGCTAGCTGTGGCTAGCTGTGGCTAAGCACATCTAGCCACAAACAGCGGCTAGGGATGGCGGGATACAGCTAGCTGCTCCCACAAGCTATGAACAGGCGCCTGTACAGATAGCTAGCTGCAGCTAGCTAGCTGCAGCTA